GAGCATGCCCGGCGCCTTGTTCCGCTGCGGGCGCTGGCTGGGCAGCCCATCCCAGCGCGCAACTCCACGACTGCGTTGGACTTCGGGTCGCGTCACCGGGTCGCGCCACGACAAGCCCTGGCACTTGACCGTATCCACGAAATCGCGAGCGTGCATCTCGTCATCGAAGTCGATGCTGCAAGCCTTATTCATGTTGTGAGCCTTCACCGTGAACTCCGTGCCCTGGGGGGCGACCGCCATCGGCTTCAGCTGGTCGGCCAGCGATGCCATCACCTTGGCCAAAAGCGGCCTGGGGCAGCCGCCAACGGACACGCGCTTCGGGTTGGAGTCCTGCTCCGAGGGTTGAACTTCGGGCAGTGGCCGGCCGAGATGGAGAGGAGGAGCAGTCTTGATCTGGTCGAGTTGGGACTGGATGGCGTCGAATTTCTCGCCCAACACCTTAGAGACAGCATCGCGCAATAGACCAGCGTCTGGAGATCTCATTGCATTCATTCACTGATTGAGATCTCCCATGCGCGCGTCGTGCTCCTGGATTGTGGACTTCAGGTCACAGATCTGGGTGCGCATGGAGGTATCAAGGTCCTTGAGCTTGATGGTATTCCTCCGAAGGTCGCATATCAAGTGCAAACATCGATGCAAGAGGCTCATCTGGCGCACGGTCGATACCTCGAATGCTCCTGCTCCTGATTCTTCTGCTAGGAAACCGACATGACGGCAGAAAATGGTCTGTATTATGCGAAGGACTCCTCCTGCCACGTGGCTTGGACGGACTGATGGTGTCGATGCTCCCGCCTTTCTTAGCGCCCTTGTGGGCAACGCGGCCCGCACTCATGGCTAAGAATAGGGGAAGAGGAGTGGCCAATCTCGTGCCCACAGCCGTCGGGCGACCTCCCGTGGGGATCGTGGATGGATAATTAACAATCCTGCAGGCAGGAGGCCTTGACCCATGCCTCTCGGCTGCGGACATGTTCAAGCCGCCGAGGTCCAGCGGTATGAACTTGAGCCAACATTGCTACGGAATGACGAAGTTGAGGAGGAGGAGGTGGAGGAGGAAGAGGAGGAAGAGCTGCAGAGAGGGAGCACGCGTGTCTCTCGCGCGCGGACGGGCGCAAACGCCGAAGGCTTGAACCGAACACGTCGCTGCCGTCGCCGCTTCCAGAGCACGCAGCCGACAAACAAACGAGACGCTTCCGAGAGAAACCAAGCAAAGGTCCCCAGAAACCGTCCTCCCCCCTCCTTAAGGAAACTCAGCAGCGAGGGTCCTTGAGTATCCCTGGAACCCTCCCCCTCCTTCTCCCCCTCCTCCACCTTCTCCCTCTTCCTCCTCCTCCCCTCCAGACTGTAGCGACGAATCGTTTGTACGTATATATCGGCGTTGCGTGTTTTTAGCTCAGATGTTACGCCAGCCTCTCGTTCAGCCTCACGACAAATGGAGACGTCTGAGCAAAAGTCCCAAACCCATCAGGGACGGGATCTCAGTCGAGCCAGCTTCTGTTTGCCCCATCTAAACCAGGTTGCGTCCTTGGCCGTGGATGTCAAACAAATCCTCCTCCTCCTCCTCCTCCTCCTCCTCCTCCTCCTCCTCCTCCTCCTCCTCCTCTCGCATCTCTCCTCTCGCATCTCTCCCCTCCTCCCCCCGCCGCAGCAGCACTTGCCCTGCAGCCCGACCCCTTCGCGGCCGCCCGGCACGGCCTTGCTCGACCGGGGGCCCCCCCGCCGCTCCCCGCGGTGCCCGCCACACTGGCCTCCTCGGCCTGGGGGCGCACGGAGCCACGCCGCCCGCGCCTCCCGCAGCGGCCCCCCCCCCTCGCGGCGGGCGATCCCGCGAGAGGCCCCCCCCGCGGCGCGCGCGGCCGCCGGGGCGCTCCTCGGCGGGGCTGCGGGCCGCAGGGTGCCGAGCAGCTCCGCGGGGGGCGGCGCCGCGAGTGCGGGCTCGGCGGCCTGACTGGGCGCACCAGGGAGGGGCGCAACCGCGTCGGGCCAGCGTGGGCAGGGGCGCTGCGCAGCCGTCGCGAGCGGCCGCCCTGCGAACCTCTGAGCGAGCGCGGGGGCGGCCGCCGCCGACCCCGTGCGCGCCCTGCAAAGGGCCCGCGCGCGCACTGCGCAGCCTCTCGCGCTGCGCCCCGGCTTCGCCCGCGGCGCGCGACCGGGACGCCCCCGCGCGGCAGGCGAGGCGGCCGCAGCGCGGCGGCGCTGGCCTTGGCGGGAAAGCTCGGGCGAGACCCCACCCCGTGTCGGGCGTTGGCAGAACTGGGTTTAGTGGAACCTGGTTTAGTGATTTGTACTGGGGGCGCCCCCCCGTCTAAAATTTCCACTCATCGGCACTGCCGTCACCCGAAACACACCAGTTACGGCAAACCTGGTTTAGTGAATCTGGCCAACTGAAGGGCCCAAGGCCCTACCACTAAGCGGGTCCCCTTACCCGGGGTCCTGGCTATACCCCACGCCGTGTTGTCGGCCCCATCGAAGGGGCGCCCGGCCGCCCTCTTCCGGAGCGCAGCCGCGCGTGACCCGAGACGCCGCGGACGGCCGCCGCGCTCTCGCCCGGGCGGCCAGGGCTCCGCCGGCGGGGCCCGCGCGGGGCGGCATGGCCAGACCTCTAGAAGAAAGAGGCCGCCCGAGCATCGCCGCGGCCGCGGAGACCTCGTGCGCGCGGGGTGGCAGACGAGGCCTCGCTGGCCGCGAAACTGTCCATGATCGGGCTCGTTCTCCTCGCCGAACCCAGGGAGGAATCTCCGCCGCCAGGGTCGCGGCCGCGGCCGTGAGGGTGGATGTGCGCGCCGGGGGCTGCCACGGGAGGGGCGCGGCGCCTCGGGCGAGAGAGAGGCGCCCAAGAGGGCTCAAACTGGCGAGGCATGGGACATGCAGTACACCCCGCGAAATGCTTTAGAAATCATGGATTAAGAAATTCATCATCTCAGAATTTGAAATCAAACCCAGAATGTATATTCAAATGTTCGGATTTACATTGAAACATTAAGAATAATCGAGACTCTGGCCGAAAACTTGGGTTTTCTTCAGCATCGGCTGGAGTGTACAGGCAGGCATGGGCCGAGGACTGCAGCGTCGGCGGCCTACTGCGCGAGGCTTCCCTGCGGAAGCTGCCCGCGGAGGAGCCCGAGGCCCTTGTGCGTTGGCAGTCCAAGGCCCACGCCGTCCACTGCGAGGCAGGGCCGTGGGCCCCCCTGGGCGGCCTCTCAATGCCTCGCAGCGGACGCCCAGCACGCGCCTTCGTGGCTCCCTCCACGCGTCCCCCCCCCCCAGACCCCCTCCTCCTCATCCCTCCTCTCTCCTCCCTCCTGCCTTCCCTCCTCTTCTCCTTACCCTCTCCCTCCTCCTTCCTCCTCGTTTCTCCCGCGCCCGGCGTTCGCGAGCGCGGCCGGATCTGCCCTTGAGGAGGAAGAACGGGAAGGAACACCCTGCTTCATGCATTCGTCTTAGGGGGTCACGTTTGTGAATGTAAGGTAACACTGCGCTTCGTGGTATTGATTTTTTTAAGGCATGTGCCCGCACGCTTACGAACGCAGCGCTGGCAGCCAGGTGTCGCGCAGCGATATTGGTGATGTTGTGTGGTAAACATCGCCAAGGTCCCCTTCTCATGCTGCTTGTGAATGGAAGAAGTGTTGAACAGTTCGGTGCGTAAGAACGGCGTTTGCACCTCAGGCGAAGTGGCACTCGACCCACGAAATGCGGTGCTTCGACGCCGTGACGCCGAAAGGGAGATGACCACAAAATCCCCGTCTGAACGGCTTCCTGTCCAGAGGGCCCGTGAGTGGGCCGAACGGTCTTACGCAGTCCCGGGCACCGGTGCTGAAGTAGGAAATGGCCCCGTGGTGTAAACTCCTGGCGCTGTGGCGCAGCGCTGTCGTCACCGCCGTGGGGCCTCGACCGTTCCGCTTACCACGTGGGCGCTTCCTCCCCGAGGGGCTGTGGTCCGTCTCCTCTTGCATGGTCGGCTCTGCTGCGGGCGGCGCCATCGACGGAACGCATGGAACAGCCGGGGCGAACGGAGGCACCCTGAGGGCAAGACATCTTCTGAGAAGGCTTCCAAAAGGCCAGAACAACCATGGCGTGACGGCAAGCCCCACTTGTCGCCCCGCTGCCGTCTGTGCGTCCCCAGCGGTCGACGCGCGTGGAAATCAGCGCGTCAGCTCTTGGAGGACCCAGCCCGCGATTTGAACGCCGCTTTGGCGCCCGAGCTCGGCGCGGCACTTCAGGCGAAGCCGTTCCGGCTTCGCTTCATGACACTCATCATCATGACACTCATCATCAGCATGCTGCGTTCGTGACGCTCATTATGACAGGTCCCCCGCGCGTTTCATGACACTCATCGTCGTGAGGATGTTCCTGTGGCGGTACACGACTGGATGCACATGAAGAGGGCTAGCGTTCCATGCGCATCTATCGCTCTGCTACGCCAGCGTGCCATGGCACTCATCATGATGACGTTCCTGCTGCGACACTTTTTTGATCTGCGGGGCGAGACCGAGCCTCTTCCGGTCGAAGCTAAGCGGGCTGCGCACAGCTTTAATTGACAGAGGGGGGAAGGCAGAAGGAGGGGCCTCACGTCAAGGCCAAGAGAGGGCAAAGCCCCAGAATCAGGCGGGCTGCGACGACACACGCACAACATGCAAACGCTTCCTCTGGGGCGCATAAGCCGCTAGCGTCCGCTGGTACCCGCGCCCTGGGCGGAGGCCCAGCGGGTCGCGCACGCGTGCGACCGGAGACCAACTGCCTCCTCCAATTCCTTCCTGCTCCTGCTATTCCTCCTCGTCCTCCACGCCCTGCTCGACACTACTCGTCCTCGTCCTCGCCCTCCTCCTCCTCCTCCTCCTCCTCCTCCTCCTCCTCCTCCTCCTATCCTCCTCCTCCTCCTCCTCCTCCTCCTCCTCCTCCTCCTCCTCCTCCTCCTCCTCCTCCTATCTCCTCCTCCTCCTCCTCCTCCTCCTCCTCCTCCTCCTCCTCCTCCTATCTCCTCCTCCCCCCCATGCATCCGCGGCCTGCGCCCCGAGGCTTCCGCGGTCAGGTTGCCACCGGCGGGAGCGCCGCCACCGCCGCCGGCGGCACGCGCGGACACGTTCTCGACCTGGAATCGAGCATGGAAAACGCATTGGTGCTCGTCTCTCCACCTCTCCCGCGCTTCTTCTTTCGGCTGGGCGTACAGGCCTCGGAAAAAAAATAGCGAGCACTCATGCCACACTCATCTGTGAACGCCTCCCCCTCCCCCCACTGTTCAAAGTTGGCGGTGGGTCTGATGAGTTGCACCTCGACCGCAGTCTCCCCCTCGCGTGCCAACTTTGAGTTTGGGGGGCAGGGGGCAGGGGGGGTGTTCACTAATTGTTTCCCTCTACCGTAAGAGTGACCCTGGGTAAGAGTGACCTTTGGTGCGCAGCTTTTGGGGGCGCGGGGGAGCCAAACCCAGGGGCGCGGGCCGCTTATGTCGCATCGTGCTCGGCGATCGGGGGGAGCCCGATGAGCCCGCACCAAAGGTCACTCCGGCGAAGGGTCACTCTTACGTGTAGTCGATTCTTCTCTCCTGTGAGATTCCGTGCTGGGCTGCTCTGATTTCTTGGCTCGGTCTTTTGTTTTTCTTGCGCACTGCCCCTTCAATCGTACTTGTTGTTTGGTGTCTACTGGAGAGGGGGGGCGGGCGCGGCAATAAAACCGCCACTTGGCGGGGTGTGCCTCAGCTTCCTGACCGCCCTAGGTCGCCCCAGGATTCCCTTAGGGACTCCACCGGGCGGCAAGAAGGGCCCGACCGGTCCCCAGAAGGGCCGGGGTCAGACGCCCAGGGGAGGGGGGGGGAGGGTCAGATACGACGCCCCCGCTGGGAGTCCCGGAGCCCCAAAAAGCCCCAAGACGGGCCAAGAGTGCCCCAAGAGGCCCCAAAGACAGTCCAAGAGAGCCCCGAATCGCCGAACGATCTGTCCAAGACGCCTTGACGGCCTCCAGACGGCCCAAGAGGCCTGCAAAGCGCCCCGAAGAGGCCTCCAGGAGCTCTCTCACGAGAGCCCCAAGAAGCAAAATTCATGGATTTCCTATACGTTTTTGACAGATTTTGGCGTGCTTGCCTCTTCCGCTCCCCGACGCGCCAAGACAGCCCAAGAGGCCCCCAAGATCGCCCCGAGACGGCCCAAGAGGCCCCCAAGAGGGTCCCCTAACGGCCGAAGAGGGCCCCAAGACGCCTCCAAGACGGCCCAAGAGGCCCCCAAGACGGCTCCAGGAGAGTGCCCAGACGGGGGACCCGAACGGACATTTCGAGCTCTCAGCCCCAGAGGCCCCCAAGAGGCCCCGAAGAAGCCCCAAGAGGCCCCAAGACGCTCCCAAGGGGCCCCCAAACTGCCCCAAGACAGCCCAGGAGAGCCCCAAATTGCCCAGGAGGCCTCCAAGAGTGCCTCGAGACGGCGCAAGAGGAGCCCTGGACGGCCCAAGACGGCCTCAGGAGAGCCACAGGCTGTCCCAAGAAAGCCTCTGGCCTCCTCCTCTTCCTCCTCCTCCTCCTCCTCCTCCTCCTCCTCCTCCTCCTCCTCCTCCTCCTCCTCCTCCTCCTCCTCCTCCTCCCCCTCTGCTCCCCCTCCTCCTGCTCTCCTCTGCCTCCTTCTCATCCTCTTGCTTCTCCTCCACATCCTTCTCCCGCCTCCTCTTTCATCCACCTCCTCCACCCTGCCCCCCCCCTCGTTTTCATCTTCGTCGCTCTCAGGGTCGGCGGCAAAGGCCGTAAGGCCTTCGCAATCCAATTGCAAATCCACCACGCGTTGATGCACTATGTGGTGGATTTACGCATGGATCCCTTTTGTTGTGTTTGTTGTTGTATATGTGCATAGGCATATTTCCATATACATACATATACATATATATATATATATATACACACATCTATATATATATATATATATGTGTGTGTATCTACACTTATGTCGATTTGGCCCCCAGCCCCGACCACAGACCGGAGGTGAGGGAACATTTCGGCGGTGACCCCAGGGAAGGCTCGAATTTCTAAAACATAAAAACATTACCAAACATTCGAATCACCACACATGAATTCCCTTTGTGGCGATGTTCTATTACTCACTCTTGAAAACGAAACATGGACCAGGCACCCCAGCCCAGACCACAGGCGGGCGGCGAGAGGAAGCTTGGGTGGCGTCCCCAGGAAAGGCTCGGGTGTCGAAATCACGCACCAGCCCTCTATGAGGATCCTGAGGTGGATATCATGGGGGCGCTACCATATATACATATGTATAGGCACAAATAATCGCACAATCGTTTTACTCCTGCACCTGCGTGGCCGCATCCGTTATCTTGCGCGTGCGCGCGCGTTCACGCCTGCGTCTGCAAGCGACAGTCACCATCCAATCCACCAATCTGCTACGAGAAGGGAAATTCGCCTAAGCGTGTCCCGGCTTAGCGCTCCACGACTTTGTGTCAAAACGCACAGAAGTGCCCAAGGCCGTGCTCTCACCCACCTCCCGCGGCCACGATCCCATTGTCAAGACATGCGCTTCGGTGCACATGGCCGTGCTAGCACCTCTGTCACACGACTACGACCCCTGGTAAAACATGCGCTACGGTGCACATCCAAACCCCTGCAAACGGGGCGATAGTAAACGGGGCTGTAGCTCAGGGGCCTCGTCAAGCGAGAACGGGGTGACAGGGCATTTACCTCGCAGTAGTGCGTGATAAATCGGGACGACGAAAACGTCGATACATCATCATAACTCTGGGCGTGGTTTACCTCGCACTTGTGCGCAGCAGATCAGTTTTTTGAAAACACCATTGAAAGCGCACCCGAGGCTACCGGCCCGTTTACTAACGCCCCGTCTGCAGGGGCTTGGCACATGGCCGTGCACATCTGTCACGACTGGGAATCCATAGGAATCCGCCGACCCTGTCGGCGTGCGTGGGGGGTCTGTCTGGTCCCGTCGACGGGACGCCTTGTCTGTTTATCCTTCCCCTTCGGTTCGGGAGGGAGAGAGCACTCTCCCGTCGTCGGGGGAACGAGTCCGGGGATTGAGGGAAATCGACCCACACCGCAGTCACGTCAAATGGAAGCCCCTTCCCTTTGTCCCTTCCCCGGCGGGGGGGTTGGGGCCCGGGGGAAGGGGCAGATTCGCATCGCCCCCTCTCCCACGCCAGTCCTCCTCCGGTCCTCTTGCCCAGGGGAGGGGGGGTCCCAGGGGGGAGTCCTTTCCCTTCTCCTCCTCCTCCTTCTCCTCCTCCTCCTCCTCATCTCCGCCTCCTCCTCCTCCTTCTGCTCCTCCTCCTCCTCCTCCTTCTCCTCCTCCTCCTCCTCCTCCTCCTCCTGGTCGTCGTCGATGTCTTTCAGGGTCGGCGGCACCGGCCGTCAGACCTCCACAATACCTCAGACTGTACGTTTGCGCTGGCCGACCTCCTACTCCTCGACCAGCCTCCACCTTCGCTGCGCTATGAAGATGCTTCGCTGCAGTAATGCGTGTGTGCGCGTGAGTGGGTGTGTGCGTGTGCTTGCGTGTGTGTCGTTCGGACTTATGTTTGCCAGCACTGCGTTTTCGCCTGCATGCGATCTCAACATCGCCGCAAGGCCCAACCATAGCTCCCGATATGCTCCAATAAGCACCATATCCCGTCCAGGATGGTCCAGGAAGGCCCCAAACGGCTCCGAGATGCCCCGAAGAGGCCACTGAGATTGGCCCCAGTGGCCCCAACATTGCCCAGCATGGCTCGGAAGTGGCCCCGGGAACCTAAGATGCTCCCGAGAGGCCCCAAGATGGTCTCCAGGCAGTCTCGATATGGGAACAAGGTGGTTCAGGCTCGGAGAGTGGCGGCAGTGGTCGCAACCCTTCTGTTATGCAGGCATGCCTGTTCCCAGCTGTATGAAGGTGATCATGCCGCCTCGTCGGTCGCGCCCAAGACGGCCACGAGACCCCCAACAGGCACCCGAGAGGCCCCGAAGAAGCCTCCATAGAGCCCCCGATGAGGCAGCGCAGGAACGATGGAACGGTTGAGGCCACGCCAAGCCAGAGCACCGTAGCGCCGCTTCCCCAGCGGCCCCAAGAGGAACCTGCCGAGCCTCTTCAACCGAACTCGGCAGAGTGGTGGCGCCCAGTACAGCTCAACACAAGCAGCTCAGAGGCCCACAGCGATCCCGCAGAACGACGCTTCGACTGAGCCTCTGCGGGAGGTTTCGTCGGAACCTTTTCACAGAGGCTGCAGAGGCGCAGCATCGAACCGAGAGGCATGGTCACCCGCAGAGGCGGGTGTACCGAGCCTCTTGTGAGCCTGCCCGGAAAACCTTAGCTACACCGGATCTCTGCGGGACCTCGATGCTTCGCTGGCACGATGGTGGGACTTGCCGCAGGCAACTGGATACAGCATTCACGGCACAGTGCTTGCATATGGTCTCTTGCTGGCTTCGCAGACAAGACACGTAATGTTTGCAAGCTGTTCTGGTCGTCGCCCATATGCCCCCCTGCATAGCAGGGCCCCACTCTTGGTAGCCCTGGGTGCCAAGGTTGGCGGTCGTCACCCGTAGGGTCTCCCCCTTCGTTGTACTTCCCTGGGTGCCAAGGTTGACAAGCGTCGCCCGTAGGTTTACGCCCATGGGTCTCGCTCTGAGTCGCCCTGGGTGCCTGGATTGACGTCCATAAGGTTCCGTCCATATCGTTCGGCCCTCACGTTTCATGGGTGCCTACGGTGGCCGTCGCCCACATGATCCCGCGCCGAGTTGCCACAGGTGCCATGTTTTGCCGTCGTCGCCCGTCGGCCCCGCCCTTCTAATTGCACCTTGCCCTTGGTCGCCTTGGGCGCCGGGCTTGGCAGTCGCATGCATGGTCCCACTCCTGGATGTCCTGGGTGCCAGGGTTGGCCGTCGCGATCGGGCGATTTGGTTGCTAGCGGGGCGCCTGGCAGAACCTGTGGCGCAGCCCATGGCAGACCTCGTGGGGCAACGGACGATGTGGCTGCCCGCGGGGAGCCGGGCACAGCCAGTGGCGTAGCCATACTGTGGCAGACCCTGCGGGGAACCGCGCGACGTGGTTGCCCGCGAGGTGCCTGGCACAACCTACAGTCGGGGCGTTGACCTAAGGAACGATAAATAAGGAACGAAGCCCCTTTTTACCCCAAGGAATAACGCATAAGGAACGATAAATAACAAATAACGCATAAGGAACTGTAAACAACGCATGTAAAATCTAAGGAACGACCGAGCCCCTTTTGAAAAGTAGGTGTTCCTTACTCAAGCCGCTCACTGTATGCCTATTGCAACAACGCTGAGGCAACGAACGATGCCGCTGCCCGCGGGGTGTGTGGTGCAACCTCTGGCGCAACCTACGGCGGACACACTGCGGCAACGGACGATGGCTCGCTGGAGGTCTTGCGCAACCTCTTGCGCAACCTACGGCACAACCGATGGCAGACCCACTGGGGCAACGGATGAGTCGGCTGCCCGCGGGGTGCCTGGCACAACTTATGGCGCAGACCATGGCAAACCCACTCGGGTAACGAACGATTCGGTTGCCCGCGAGGTGGCGCAACCTGTGGCACAACCTGTTGCACATTCTGTTCAGGGCCTCTCTGTGTGCTGAAGCTGTTGCCCTGGTAGCCCTCCTGAAATGCTTGGGCCCACGAGCTAACATCACACGTGCATCAACACATCTGGAACATACACGTGTATGCGGCGAGCTGCACAGCAACGTCACGACTGGCACCGCAGACCGAGGCGTCGCATGGCGCGGCATAGCGCAGTGCAGCGTGACTCAACTCGGCAGGGCGCAACGCACCAAGCAATTGCAGAACGAGCCATGACAGAAAACACATGGTACAACAAAGGTTGACATTCACGGATATGATATTTAACCAGCTAAGTACTGGCTACACATTGTATCATGACGTAGCGTGCGAAGCGCAAAAAAGGTGCGCACACATACGCCTTCACACGTACGTGCGTCGCAGATACTCGCAACATGCCTACGTATAGACACTGCAGAATGTCATGCATGCCTGAGCCTCTCACCAACTGGGACGCGCGCGAAAAGCATGAGGCATGTGCAGAATACGATAAGGCAGGGGTGGCGACCTTCTCGAATCTCAGCGCTGCCTGTAACAAGAGGACGCTGCTGAACGAGACCGAGTACCCGTCGATGGCGACGTCCCGCGGCGCGCAATCGCAATGGCACGAAGGGGCGAGGACCAGCAGCAGGAAGGCGCAGGATACCGCTGCCTGGCACGGGGGCTGCTCTGGGGGCCCCGGCTGGCAGAACTGACGGGGTCGGGACAGCATGCGCACAAGTTCGCACACGCGTTTCGCCTTGCTGGCCGCAGGCCCCCTCTGGGCAGTTGGCCGATGTCCTGTCGGTGAGCCGTGTGGAAGTCCAAGACGTAGGGCCACCTGGGACTTTCGCAGCCCTGCGGACTTCGCAACAAAAACCTGTTCCGCATCTCGGCTCCCGTAAAGGAGCGAACGACCATTCAGAATGCTGGCGCTGGAAACCTAAGAACGAATGCCGTCGGAAACTGGTAATCGCTGCGGCTCCAGAAGAAGAGAAGAGAGAGAAAGGGCACTGGCGTAACGTACCGGACATATGACTTGCCAACGTGGCTCTGCAATTGGACCCTACTTTTCCCCGAAATCCCTTACGCGGAGAAACCCCGCAGTGTGAGAGAGCATGGGGATCGACAAACGCGTGGCAGTTTTTGGCCGTAGTCGCGTTGGCTGCAACAGCACACTGCTTGTGTGGAGTCATGGTAGTATGCTACTGCATGACAATACCGCATGATATCACCAAGGCGTCATCCCGCGACGCCAGAGCACGTGTCTGTCGAACACCGTGCCGCTCCCCCTTGTCTCTTGTGACGGTCCGCCCGCTTCTAGGCAGTCCTAGCGAACTGGCCTGGTGCCGACGCGTGAGCCCGAAACCCCTCATCCGCGCACCGAAAAAAAGGGCACCATATGCAAGGTGCAACTTACTGGGCGCCGGCGGTAAACCGTCAACCTGGCTACCGCAGGGGACCTCGCAGAGCTCCCCCCCACCCCCGTCCGACCCTCGCTGGGGTCGGACCCGAGAGAAAGAAAGAAGAAGAAAAAGGAATACATATATATATATATATATATATATACATATATACATAGAGAGAGAGAGAGAGAGAGACACACACACACAATCTTACGTGGTGTTCAGAGCACTACCGGCGCATCCAAGAATACGACTCGAGCTTAAAGGGGTGCCACCCCTGCAGGGTGATGCATCATTCGGCGGTGGACAAACCTCCCTTTAGTCAACCTCCCCTTCGTGAAAACGGCCTGGGACTGAAACCGACGGACCTGGACCCGCAAAAGTGACGGCCGCGACGCCCCCTCGCGAACCGAAAACGGCCAATTCCTCAATCGGCGTGTCAGGGTAGGAGGCCTGTCCACCCCCGAAATCCTCTCTGGGGCACCGCAAAGCCGTGCCCCTGGCACGCCGAGAGGCGCGGCAGCATGCCAAGTGTTAAGTCGGGCCTGTCCCCCTACAGGGGGATTTCGACGAAGAATAAAAAGTACCCCACAAATATTAAAAAAAAAAAATCAAAAATCGTCAGGGGACTATTTTTTGAAAATGTTTTAGCCTGTTTGGGATATTTTTGGGGTATGTTTCTATGTTTCGTCGAAAATCACCCTGTAGGGGGACACGGCCGACATCATAAGCCAAGTGCCGTCTGGCGGCAGGGTCCCTGCGGCACTGTACAGGAAAGGGGGGCCCTCCCTCCTCCGGCCCCTGCCCAGCTGCGTGCGCCGCCTCCCCCCCCCCCCCGCGCACCCCCTACCGAGAGGCCACGGCCCTCGGCTACACGCAGGAGTGACCCTGGGTCTCGCTATCGCTCGGACGTCCATTCCCCGTGCATTTCTCGATTTCGCGCGTGTATTTTTCGCTAGATGATTAAGAATGCTCCTCGATGGTCGCCGCCAAGGAAAAATGCACTCGTCCGAGCGATGCCAAGGGGTAAGAGTGACCTCTGGTGCGCGGCTTTTGGGGGGCCGCGGGGGGGGGACAGAAACAAGAAGCGCGCAGGCCGCTGCTGCCGCTGCTCTCTCGGCCACCTGGGGGCCCACCTGCGCCCGCGCAAAAAGGTCACTCCGGCGAGAGGTCACTCTGACGCCTGGCCGAGTGATCCTTTGTAAATCGGGAGCGGCCAAGAAGGGGTTGTCCAAGAGGGGGGGGTGCAAATCATGACCGGCGGCATGTGCGCGGCCCAGCGGGGGGGCCAGGGACGTAATGAAATAAGAAAAGGCGCCATGAAATCTGGGGAAATATCATGGCCCACGCCATGACCTCCCCCCCCCCCCTAGTCATCACCCCCCTCTTTTCCGCCCCCGAGTAAATCACAGAATGGTTCCGTGCTCCCGGGCTTCCAAGACGGCCGAGCCAGGCCACCCAGACCGCCACGATGGCCGAAGGCTCCTCCAAGATGGCCCCAAGGCGGCCAGAGATGGCCTCACGACGGCCCAAGAGGCCCCCTCCAAGAGGGCGCCCAGGGGACCCTCAGTGTGGCCCGAAGAAGCCCAGACCATTGAGTTCCCGAGCGTTTTCCGAATGGTCGGGCGGCTCCACCTTTCCGGGCTTCCTTCGGCTCCAGACGGCCCTGGCGGCCCCCAGGATGGCCCCAAGACCGCCCAAGAGGGCCCCACGGTGGCCCAAACATCTGCCAAGACTGCCCAAGACAGTCCAAGAGAGCCTCCAGACGGCCCCGGGCGGCCCCGAGAGGGCCCCCCGCCGGCCCACGTCCGACGCCCTCCGGTCGGGAACTCTTGCTCCGCGCGTCGCGGCGGCGGCCCCCTGCGACACGCTGCCCCTTGCACGCCGACGGCGCGTCGCTCCGCTCCGCGGGGCGGGAGGCTGGAGGAGGAGGAGGAGGAGGAGGAGGAGGAGGAGGAGGAGGAGGAGGAGGAGGAGGAGGAGGACCGTTGATGCTGGCACTGGGGCGTGGATGGCATGTCGCGCCGCAGCGCGGTGGGCCAGAATCGGCGGCGGGACACGCCAAGCCAAAGTTCCTAACCCTGCCCCTCCCTCCCATGCTTGCCCACTGCGCTGTGCCGTTCCTGTCGTCGCCGCTTCGGGTGTCAGATCGGACATGTGCTGCCGACCAACACATGCGATGTGCCATCGGTGTAAAACGGGGCCAAACGGCACGCGGGGAGGTGAGGCGACGTCCAGGGCGCAGAAAAATACGATTGCAACTCAAACGCGCCTTGCAAGACACAGGCGTGAGTGAGAAGGAGAAGGAGGAGGAATAGGAACGGCAGGAGGAAGGGCAGGAATAGGAGAAGGAGCAAACAAGCTGTGCGCGCTCGCGCCAAATCTGACACTATACCCTTCCCACCCGTGTCTTCCCATTACACGTTTTTTTCCCCCATTCTTTATTTTTTCCTTTCTCTCTCTCTCTCTATATATATACATATATGTTTCCGCCGACGCGTGCCATAGTAGCGGACTTGGACTTCCCCAGAAAGGACCCTATCGTGTCGTGAGCAATCGGATCATGTGAGCTGCGTACATTGGAGGACAAGGTGGCGGATGAGCAGGAGGATGAGCAGGAGGAAGACGAGGAGGCGGAGGAGGAGGAGGAGAAGGACGAAGGAGGAGGAGGAGGAGGAGGAGGAGGACAAGGAGGAACAGGAGCAGCAGGAGCTGTCGTGGGAGAAGCGGGAGAGTAGGATGACCTAGGGAAGCGGGAGGGGAAAGGAGCGGAGCGAGAACGACGAGGAGACACTCTGATCCAGAAAAGAGGCCCGCGCTGGGGCGAGAGTGACATTTTGAACGACGGGGGTAGAGCGCCGATCCCCTGATGAGGCTCAGGCTGCAAGGGCATCACCGTTTTGAGACAAACGCCCCGATTGAAATAATCGACAGGGATAGTCAACCAGTGCATTCCTGTGTGCAAAATTCATTCACCTCCGCAGAGCACCCTAGCAACAGCTAGGGTGTGGAGGCGGATGGACGCCTGAAGCGTTGGCTTGCGAAGACGACCTCATCATATTGTCGATAGCGTTCGTGATGTCGACGTGGCGACGCGAATGCGCTTGGAATAACATCAGGGACCGGGCGACCCCACTCCTGGCAGCTGGAATGGTGAGAAGCCTCTGGCCCTGCCACAGTTTCTGGGTCTAGGACAGCTGGAATGGTGAGAATCCTATGCACTTGTTTTCGCGCCAGCCTTAACCAACGCTCGCACCAGCTCGTTCACGCTTCGCACCAGCAGAGTCTGCATCGATTAAGCGCAGAAGCCAGCCGAGCGACCGGCGAGCCCGGGGCGCCAAGAGCTGCATTTCCCGGTCGTTCGGCTGGCGAGCCGGGGGCGCCAATGGCTGCATTTGCTGGTGAGAATCCTTTGCCGTTGCCGCAATTTCTGGGCCTGCGACGGCTGAAGTCGAGCCAGAACACCATAGCAGGTCTCATTTCTGGATCTGCGAGGGCCGAAATCGAGCCAGAACAATCCCCCCCCCTCTGTGGTGATTCTGGCGAGAGGAATCTTGAAACTGACATCGAGCCATAAAACCATTACGAATCTCATTTCTGAACCTCATCGAGCCAGGACACCATAGTGAGTCTCATTTCTGAATCTGCGAAGGCTGGAATCGAGCCAGAACACAATGCTGAAGTTAGACCAAGTCGAACCAGAACACCCTAATGAGTTTCATGTCTGGACCCAGTTTAGGTCGGGCATGTTCCCCTACAGGCGGATCTTGGACGGAAAATTAAAAATACCCCAAAATATTCCAAAATGGTACAAGGACTATCAAAAAATCGTCCCCTGACTATTTCTTTAAAATCTCATTTTTGAATATTCCTCCTGTAGAAGGACATGGCCCGATTGAAGACCAAATCGAGCCCAAACACCATCGTGAATCGATTCTGGACCGTTCCGGACCGCCGCCAGACGGGCAAGGCGCCTCCCCTTGGTCCCCCTCTGTGGAGATGCAGGCGAAAGGAATCCAGACCTCTAGTAAATCCTCTAGCGAGGCGCCACTCGGGACAAACATGTGGCTCCAGCGTGGGACCGTCATGTTAGACATCCCACCGGGTGGCCTGGACGCGTGAAAACACATGGTTTCCACCTGCCCCGGCATCGCCCCCGGCACCGTGGACCCCGTTGCCGGACCGGTGTGACGCCCCCCCGTCGGCCCCCCGTGCGGAAAGACCCTGGTGCAGTCGAGCCCAAACACCATAATGAGTCTCATTTCTG